TACAGGTTGCCAATTCGTGTAACTCATTACCTCATGCCTGTCATTCTATATTGCAACATTTTGTTGTGTTGAAGCTCAGACCAGACACCAGGTCTATTCTTAGGTTGCAGCTCCTTGCATTTCAGACCAAAATGGGCATAGTTTCAGGTATATTACAGGTTGCCAATTCGTGTAACTCATTACCTCATGCCTGTCATTCTATATTGCAACATTTTGTTGTGTTGGAAGCTCAGACCAGACACCAGGTCTATTCTTAGGTTGCAGCTCCTTCCAGTCAAATATGGCATTTCAGACCAAAATGGGCATAGTTTCAGGTATATTACAGGTTGCCAATTCGTGTAACTCATTGCCTCATGCCTGTCATTCTATATTGCAACATTTTGTTGTGTTCTATTCTTGAAATATGGCATTTCAGACCAAAATGACACCAACTCATTGCCTCATGCCTGTCATTCTATTCAACATTTTGTTGTGTTGGTTGACCAGACACCAGGTCTATTCTTAGGTTGCAGCCCTTCCAGTCAAATATGGCATTTCAGACCAAAAATAGGCACCAAAATACAGGGCATTCGTTTCATTGGTATTCTATATTGCAACATTTTGGTTTGCCAATTCTATTCTTGTCTGTAAAATATGGCATTTCAGACCAAAATGGGCATAGTTTCAGCCTCATTGCCTCATGCCTGTCATTCTATATTGCAACATTTTGTTGTGTTGAAGCTCAGACCAGACACCAGGTCTATTCTTAGGTTGCAGGTCTATTCTAGGTAGGTATATTACCCAATTCGTGTAACATTGCCTCATGCCTGTCATTATATTGCAACATTTTGTTGTGTTGAAGCTCAGACCAGACACCAGGTCTCATTCTTAGGTTGCAGCTCCTTCCAGTCAAATATGGCATTTCAGACCAAAATGGGCATAGTTTCAGGTATATTACAGGTTGCCAATTCGTGTAACTCATTACCTCATGCCTGTCATTCTATATTGCAACATTTTGTTGTGTTGAAGCTCAGACCAGACACCAGGTCTATTCTTAGGTTGCAGCTCCTTCCAGTTTCAGGTATATTACAGGTTGCAAATATGGCATTTCAGACCAAAATGGGGTATATTACAGGTTTCAACTCATTTCCTATTCTATATTGCAACATTTTTTGTGCCAATTCGTGTACACCAGGTCTATTCTTAGGTTGCAGCTCCTTCCAGTCAAATATGGCATTTCAGACCAAAATGGGCATAGTTTCAGGTATATTACAGGTTGCCAATTCGTGTAACTCATTGCCTCATGCCTGTCATTCTATATTGCAACATTTTGTTGTGTTGAAGCTCAGACCAGACACCAGGTCTATTCTTAGGTTGCAGCTCCTTCCAGTCAAATGCTTGTGGCTTAAAAATAATCCTTTGGACAGATTGTTTCCCATGAGTTAAGACCATGAGAATTTTCAGTAGTAAGCAGATTTTATTTACAGACGAACAGTGCCAAGATGAGTTGTAGATGAAGAGAGAGTTGAACAGTCTAACAGGCATCTTCCCTTTCTCTTCATTCTCCATGGGCCCTCATTGTCTCTCTGCCCTTTTGTGGACAGTAGCCACTGTTTTATAAAGAATATTTTTCTTTTTTCGTGTCATCTTTGTCTAAAAATGTAATTTATCTTCATGCAGTGATTTGCTTTATCTGAGCTGCTCACCGTGTACTTATGAAGTCCACTTCACCCAGCCAATAAACATCAGTAAAATAAATGTCTGAATCCATTTTTGTGACTAGTCAGCTGTTTTCCACTTAATAAAATATCAGCTGACACTAATATCACTACAATTTGTAGAGGGACCTCTGATATTGAATATCAGTGTTTTAATACTGTTATATACCATACCTATGAACACTAATGGATATGTCCCAATCCTTGTAAAGCGTAATATGCTAAGTAGTCCACTACAAGCAGTGGTTTATCTACTTCACGCCGCTAGCAACAATTTTATTTTGTTGATGTTATAAAAATTACTATTTCATTTCCAACCTCTGTTTCGGTTATTCCTCATTCAGTAGCCTTTTCTAGGTTACAACAAATACATTTTTAAATGCATCTTATAGGTGAAAATCAAAACCAAAATATTTTTATACAATTAAGCAATCTTATTGAGAAAGTCATTTTTATAAAAGCTTCGTTTTGTCAATCATTTTGTTCATTGAAAGAAATGTTGACCAATGCATTTTTAGAAACAACAAGATTTCAAAATTTGCAGCTTTATATTCATCTATATGAATGACATAAAAACAGAAGTTTATTTGTTGGGTGCTTGGAATAAAATTGTAAAATACCCAATTTGCTACTTGTAGACTGACACTAAAAACAATGATTTTTCTTGGGATTGATAGTGAAGTGGGTTTGGGAAAGATATTAGAATAATCCATAGTCTATATTGACAGCAAAACTGCCAGCATACAGATAGAAAATGAATTCAGTAAATACACAAAAATAGAAAGACAAGGATGTGTCTTCTCACCAGACTTAGTCAACTTATACAGTGAGGCGATTCTGAGAGAGAAGTCCTTACAGGATTTATTATTGGCAGCCATAATCATAACATAGATATAATGGTGACAGTATTGATAGCAGACATAGAAAGGAAATTCCTACAGAAGGCAGTAAAGGAAAATGAGAAGAAAGGACTAAACATGAAATACCATGGACTAAAGATACAACCAATGACGAGTTCTTGAGACAATGGAAGCAAAAATGACACTTCTGTTTAACATCAGAAAAGAATAGTTGAAATTTCTAGGGTACATAATGAGGAAAGAGGGCTTGGAAAATTTGATACTCACAGGACAGATTGAAGGCAAAAGGTATTGAAGAAAACAACACATAACCTACCTAGCAAGATGACAGAGCAAGATTTAGGAGAGAAAAAAAAATGACAAAATTTATTAAGAGTTCCAAAAGACAGGAAATCGTGAAGATCCATGATTGTCAATGTCTTGAAGAGACATAGTACATAGAAGGAGGAGGTCTGACATTCTTGTACTATAATATGATATTCTATAAATATTGATCTAGGTTTATAGCAAATCACATTGATTGACTTAATGAAAAATATTTAAATTTTGATGGCAAATAAATTACACTGCATTTTTATAATCAGTTATTAAGCCATAAATTGCCATGATTGTTTTAAAGAGAAACAGTGGAGTAATTTCCTGTTGTTTTCTCTATGGTGTTTTTATCCCTAAAATCCCCAACTGGTGGTGGGGGGATGGGTTGACCACATTTTTGGGTGGTGGGGGCGCCATTGTCGCCTGTGGCATTTTTTTTTAACACTGTTTTATGGCCGTCTTTCATTTTTTTTTATTATTTTTAAACTGATGCTGCACTGTCAGTCATCAACTAATAATATATATTGTGTAACTGCATGATCAGTACAGTGCATACTACACAAGTACCCCTGACTGATTTTTTTACTTTTTGTACTTTTAGTACAAAAAGCAAAAGAAACACTCTTAAAACTAGCACTTTTGGGGCTCCAAGTTTGTCAGGAGTTCCGGTGCAGTATATTTTTTCTACCTAAGTTATATTGTCAATCATCAACTATAATCATCGACAGTGCTAGTACTTATTACCCCAAACCTCTCAACCATGTGGGGCCCCTTGCCTACTGTGAAGGGAGGGAAGTAGAAGTTCTAATTTCAGTAGCACTTATTGTTTTAAATTGTAATTTGCTTTCTGTACAGTTCTTTTAAATCATTTAAGAGGCTAATATATTTCAATAAAATCATTTTTATTCTGAGGTCATCCACTAAGGATGATCTTTGATTTTTTTTTTTTTACTAATAGAAATACTAACCAGAAGTCCATGGCTAGTAATTAAAATAAAATTTCTATTCCCTATTTTTTTACATTTCTAGAAAGATAAAACCAAAAAAATGATCGCTTTAAAAAAAAAAACATGTTTAAAGATTTCAACACATGAAAAATTTTCACAAAAACTGAAATACTGTTTTTAAAGTAAATTTTTAAGACAATCCCATTTGTGTTGTGTTGGAATCTTTATAAAACTTTTTTTTCAGAAGAGATGTGTCAGTGATTAATCTTTATGGCAATGTAAAAATTTGCAACTTAAACATTCTTTCAAGTAAAATTTAGTCATAAATATATTGATGGTTATTGCAAAAAGAATAACATTTTACATAATATTTTATTCATTATAAAATTAAATAATTAATGAATATGTACTGAAATTTTCATTTAAATTGGATAATTCTCTGATTTTTGGTCATTTAAAAAAGTGCTGCTCTTCCCCCTCACAATTTTCCTTCAAGGCTTTGTGGCCTCCAGGTTGGGAAAATTTGAAATCAACATGTACTAGAGTGGTGGGTGGCTTATCAAAGTTTTTTTTTGGGGGGAGACCCTAACACTGGCCCTATTTTTACTGAGACAATTTCTATTTAGCAAGCAGTGAACACATGGAGCTCATCTGCTCTTTGATTGACCCTTGACTTGAAGAAGTTAAGATTGTAGTGCTCAGGGAAGTATTTTCTGAGAATAATAAAAATTAAGTAGATGTGGAGAGTCATGATTGCTCCATGATGATACATCTCCTTCTTAAGTTGCTCAACTGCCTATGATGTGGGTAATGCACCAAGCATTTTCCTAAACATACTATTGCCCGAAGTTATTTTAATAACCAAAGATTCATTTCTCATTCTATAGAAAATAAATTTTAATTATTTTGCAAAAATAATTAAAACTAAACCTCATCGGAAGAATTCACAGTTCAAGAACCAATTGATTTGAGCAAAAAAAGATTATTAGGAAATATTCTTTCTTGAATTTGAAAATTTTGAATAAAAGTGATTCTTTTAATCAAGTGTTTTTTCTGTTTTTTACAATGTTTACTCTGTAGAAGGCCCAAGAGCCACTTGAGATAGTGGCTACAGAGTAAGAGGCACAGTTTATGTGACTATGTGGGGAAGATAATGGTTGACCCTAGACTTGAACCAGGCTTATGGCCACATCACATTGAAATACTAGTTCCCATACAATCACCAAAGTTAAGCAAAATTGAGCCTGATCAGTACCTAGATGGATGACCTCTTGAGAATATCAGGTGTTGTAAGCTTTGATGTGTGTGGGGAGGCGTAATGAATAATGACTCAGAATTGTTAATCAAAGAGCTGAGTTTCAGTTTCAGTTGGGTTTGCTATATTCACTTACTCACAAATAGCATTAGGAAAAGTACGAATCCACCGCTTCTTCCCCCAGGCATGGGTTAATTAGTAAAACTTGTATCATTATTATTTGTCCCCCCATCCCCAAAAAATAAAATAAATTTGTGTACAAAATATTAAATAATCTGTACAGGTTGATATGCCACTAAAATAAACAACCAACCAAGACTTGAAAGATTGTAGTGATTGTGGAAGCATCCCCTTGGGAGTCACTTCCACAAACAGTAGTTCATAAGAAGAAGCCACTTGAGTGGGACTTACATCTCACCAATGGAATGTAAAGGGAATGAGGGTGGCTCGCAACAATGTATGTGGCATGGTGGGTTTTAGCCATGATGGTTAGAATTGGTGGAACTAAGGAATGTAGTTTGTCTGAACAGTGAAAGGTTTGCAATGTTTCATCTGTGAGAAAGAATTTACAAAAATCATACTTATTATAAAACCCAGGTTGTGTGTGTGTGTGTGTGTGTGTGTGTGTGTATGTGTGTCTGTACGTTTATATATTGAATCGGATTTCCTACATTTTTCAACTGATTTCAACAAAACTTCACAGGACTACGTAAAATTACCTTGCAGTGGTGCTGACAGTGCCAAAAATTGGAAAAACACAATTGTTTTTGCATAAAATCAATTTGAAAAGACGATTAAGAGGCATCGCTGTCACGAGAATGAAAGGGGGACAACTCATATTGAGTTATACTTATTATAAAACCCAGGTTTTGTGTGTGTGTGTGTGTGTTCCTTTATATATAGGATCAGATTTCCTACATTTTTCAACCGATTTCAACAAAATTTCACTTTTTTTTTGGCAGGTAGTGTTTCTTATTGTCTTGCACACTTTTTTCTTTATTTTTACATACAGAATGCTTTAAAAATTCTATTTACAAGACAATTGTTTATAATAAAATTCTATTCAATTGGTAGTCTCATAACGATTGAAAACAATGTTTTTGTTTGAGTTTGGGTTTGACCAATTCATAAAAAAAAAAAAAAACTAATTAAGACATGCATGGCTGTCAACCTTAAACAATAATCTTTGTCAATTTTATTTTTCAGTCTTTATGATGGTCAATACTTGATTTATCTCTTTTACTGCTACATCCCCAGGCAACGCCGGGCTCTACTGCTAGTTTTTAATAAAATCAGACACAGATTAAAATAAAACTAGAAATAATTATGTCTTTTGTGTTCCTGTAAGGTTAAAATATATGAATTAGTATTTTATTTCTGAGGCTAGTTATGAGTCATCTATCAAAATGAGCAACAGTTGCTTACAGATGCGCAGTTGGAACTTTTACAGACGGAAGAAAACTTCTGGTTTGTTAGTCTGTCATGAAAGAAAAGAAAAGTAGCAGAAAATATATAACCCTCCAAATTATACCAGGTGACTATGAATAAAGAACTAAATACATTCTCAGCATGAACATACACTGGGTCTTTTTTTTTCTTTAATCATTTCACTCCATGCAAGACAGTAAAGCCACTAAGATACAAGGGGTTACTGGGTGTGAAAGAATTAGAAAACAGAAACATTATTAAGGAGAAAGAACAATAGAAGAGTGATCAAGAAGACAGTAGATAATAACTGACATTGCAATTAAACTTTTGAAGTTTAAAGTTGGCCAAAAGAGAGTTCCACAAGTAAGAAGTGCAAGAAAAGAAATTGCTAGCATAGAACTCAAGGTTACATCTAGTCAATTCAGCATAATTTGACGAAAGCTTAATGCCAATCTAGTACTATGCTTAAATTTATAAAGTCTAGGTACCATAGCAAAGTGCTCGTCTAAACAATTACCATAAAAGTATTTATAAAAAAGGCACAGAGAAACAATGTAACGGTGATGGGAAAGTGACTGAAGACAAAGCACCAGATCAGGACCAATAATATTGCTGATTATTCTTTGGATTTTATCAAGAATCTCTAAATATATAGCAGGAACACAGGAGTATATGTAGCAGTAATATTCTAAGCATGGACAAATGGTAAAGTTATAGATATGCAAGATAGATTATCTAGCATGACTCAGTGAACCAAATTTCTTAGTAGCAGAACTAGCAACAGATTCAATATAGCTTTTCCACTTCATGTCAGCCGAGAATGTTAGCCCAAAGAGGTGCAATGAGTCACTCTCTTGGAGGTTAGCATTAACTATACTGACAGGAGGCAGAAAGTAGTCTTTCAGATGATTAATAGAAAGCAGTTTTGTTTTGGAAGTGTTAAAATTAACAAGCCATTCTTTGCCTCAGTTAACAATAGACTGTAGGTTGTTTTTGATATTAGATGCCAAATGTGACCTTATCGAAAAGATCAAACTTACTTTCGAGACAACTTTCTCTGTTTTTATTCACACTGACATAAGCAGGAATTGAAACACAACATGGGGTGAAGCCATCTAGTCAGTGAAAAAGTGACCAAGGACTGAGTGTGTATGCTTACACACTAATCTTTTATCAATATTAACAAGACCTTATAAATTGAAAAAATAGTAATTTATTTCCCTCCTTATATATATATATATATATATATATATATATATATATATATATATATATTATATATATATATATATATATATATATATATATATATATATATATATATATATATATATATATATATATATATATATATATATATATATATATATATATATATATATATATATATATATATATATATATATATATATATATATATATATATATATATATATATATATATATATATATATATATATATATATATATATATATATATATATATATATATATATATATATATATATATATATATATATATATATATATATATAGATATATATATATATATATATATATATATATAGATATATATATATATATATATATATTGTATATATATATATATATATATATAGATATATATATATATATATATATCTTATAGATATATATATATATATATATATATATTGTAGATATATATATTATATATATATCTTATAGATATATATATATATATATCTTATATATATCTTATAGATATGTATATCATATATATATCTTATATATATATATATATATATATATATATATATATATATATATATCTTATATATGTATAAATGTATATAAATGTATATAAATGTAAAAGACCATAAGAAAACTGTAATATTAGCTGACGTGTTTTGTCCAATGTGAACTTTTTCAAGGCAAAAATGAAATGAATTTATTAAACACAGTAACTAATAATAACAAAACAAAATGTTCTTAGCAACTGGAAGAATTTAGAGAACGCTATTATATTCATACTGTTAACTGAAAATTATGTGAGGTACTGTCACGTGTGGAGATAATGTCTTTATTGTGTTGATGGATTCAACAATTTTCTTTTGATTTCTTGATACTGTTGTGTACGTTTGCTTGGGAGAGTAGTAATTCTGTTAGGAAAGGTGACATAGTCATATATAGAAATAAATTCAACCACAATTTTGATTTTAAAAATTCTACACTCATAAGAAAAGAAAAGAACTCACTCAGAAGGAAAATCCTTGAGAGTGCTGCCATTGGATATTATCCAAATATTAAACTACACCCAGGCTTTTTCCCTATTTCACCTTTCAGTTGCTAAGGACATTTTGTTTTGTTATTATTAGTTACTTTGTTTAATATATTCATTTCATTTTTTTCCTTGAAACGTTCACATTGGACAAAACGTGTCATCTAATATTACAGTTTTCCTATTGTCTTTTACATTTATAAATATTGTCTTTTTCTACAGGCTTACTGAGAAATTTTTCATAATATATATAATTATATATAATATATATATATATATATATATATATAATTTCTAGAATCTCATCATTCCTTTAAAAATGATAAGATTCCTCTTCATTTCTGAAAGAGAAAATGCATTTGATTTTGGCTGGCACTTTCATACTAATCTTTTGCATTCAGCTTCCATGCAGCTCGAAGACTTCAGTGAATTTATTCCATTTGTGTTTGATATATTCTTTTGTGCAAACATGAGCCTCTTATCTATAGCCAGACCACTACATTACTTTTCAATTACAACCGCCCCTAACACTCATATATTGTAAACCCAAATCCTAACAAATTGACAAAAGATCATATCCAGTAAGAAAACTATTGAATGCAAGTCTGGCTCACAACTTTGTCATTTTTCACTATTTCTTTCTCGTATTTTTTGTGGTGGTGGATGGGGGGGAAAGAAAAAAATTAAATTGTACAACAAATAAAAAATTGAATCTAACCACATTTAGTTAGAAGCAAGAGCTCTTTTGTCAGAAAGAAACAATGATAGAATTTGAACATAAAGTTGGAATCAATGTTATAAATTCCATTGCCAAAATAAGGCTAAAAAGTTTAAGAACATTTGAAGAAATAAAAAAATGAAAGACAATTTGAAGCAATTTCAGTTCTGAACTTTTACAAAGAAACATTTACCTTTCAAAAACAGAATTTAACATGGAAGTTTCATTATAACAAAGTGGCATTTCAAATTTCATTTATTTATTTATTTTATTTATTCATTATCAATTTAATATAAATTTTATATTCTTATTCTGTTTTATTTTAATGTAGCTTAAAAGCTGCACTCCTAAGCTAGCTCCTGTGGAGGGCTAATTTTAAGTTAGCTCCTGCAGAAGGCTACATGGGCCTCCAGCCCAAAACTAAAGGGACCTTTGGTTCAGCTTAGAAAACAACAATGACAATTTTGAAGAAATAACTTTGAATTCCTCAATTCATTCCATGGAACTTAAAAACCTCACTTTAACTCTGATTCAGGTTATAAGTCCAATTTCAGCCAAAAGACTAAAACTCAAATTTGGGCTGAAATTCCAATTCAGGCCAACAATTGAATTCTTCAAATTACAAATTTTAGG